AGATCATGGTGGTGGACTTTGTAGATGACAGATGAGCGATATATAATAATTTATACATGGAATTTTTTAGAGAAAAAACTTATATTTGGATTACACATTTCGAGTTTGATATGTGGCATTTACCGAACAAACCATCCAATCCGATTTATAGAAAAGTTTGTATGACTATTCGCAATGTAAACGTAATTCGTTGGCCTTTTTGTTTTTTATGTAAACTACCATTCATATTTTTCTCTGCGACTTGCCTTTACGACAGTTTCCATTTTTTAGTACAATTTGCGTGACCAACAATTCGCTCTATTGCGTGTGCTCACCAACTGAAAACAAAACGAAACATGTTTCTTTTATAATTAGTTCCTAGTGGTTTAAATTATTTTCGCCCAGAATCTTTAGTTGAGATTGTTGTTCGCGTTCACGTATTTTAGTAGATTGAGTAGTAAGTACTGGAAGAGGAAAAAGTTCTAAATGAATTAACAAGCAATAATAGTTCTAATAGTTACTTGATTAAATGATCTTGATTTCTAATTTATAGTGACATCGTTGCAAACAGTCTCTTGTTTTAGTTCTCTAATAGCTAAAACATTCTACTTTTTTAAAATTGTCATTTTGTTTTTTAAAAATATTCCCCAAGATAAGTTGTTAATTGAACAGTTCTGTAGGTTTTCGTAATATATATAAACAATAAAAACAAATCATATAGATCTATTTAATATATATATTGCTTATACAAAGCCTTCGGTCGTTTCAAAGTTTGAAACTATCGTCTTCATTACTACCAATTGTTATGTGAACATGCAATTAATTAATTATTATAGATAAATAAAGGAGAGCTCTTTAATCCCATAAAGTATTAATTGTCTTTTAATGTTTCTTATTTAAACACAATTATTATTATTTTCTTTCAATTAGTTTAATGTTAGTAGTATTAATATAGTCGCCGTTTTGAAAAAGTAAGAACTTTTACTTTGTCGTCTTAACTGTGCCAATCTTGTATGTATATACATATACAAAGATACCCTGGTTGGTAAATCTGTGAATTAATATTACTATTACATTCAAAACTCGATAATAATAAGCCGGGAACACAAAAATAGGAACGGTTTATCAAAACAATGACTGAATTTAATAGATGAATCTCAAAAATCATTGGAAATGACACTCTCAGTACCAATCCGGGGATGCTTTATATGTATTGGAAAATTCTCAATTTTGGCCATTTAAAGGGATAAAAACGATTTTAAAAAAATCGGTTTATTAAACATCGTTTTTCAGTAAAATTCGGATTATCAAGGTTTGAATGTATAACAAACCATTTTCCTTCACTCTTGCTATATATATATATATATATCTTTTCCTTTTTTTACCTAATCAATCGCTTGCTATACTTTCATTCTCACTCTTAATCTGTCACTCGCTCGAAAAAACAATTATTAAAGAATTTTAGAAAGTGTGACGCGGCAAATTTTCGACCTTTTATTTTTCGTTAAATACGATATAAAACTATAACCAATATGATTTCAATAAAAGTTGGCAATCCATTGTTTATAGGGGAAATTGTAATTAATTGATTAACTTTGAGATTTGATGCTATATATATATATACACACTAATAAAAAAAGGATTAAGAACGAATATTTGCCTCAAGAAAACTTCCACAATTATGTGATCTTGAGATTTCATTCCCCATATTATTCTAAATTAATTTAAAAAAAATGGAATTACAATTTCGACCCTTTATGGCCTTCGTCCGGAAATTTAAAAGGCTTGCTTGTTGTTTAAATTACACATGTTAATTATAAAATAAAAAAGAACAGAGTAAGAAGAAAAATGAGTAATGTTTATTAAGATAAATATAAACAAATTAAATAATATTATAAAAATAGCTTTAAAGATACAGATTTTCAAGACGACGGAAATGTTTAAAAGAATTAAAAAGCATCCATTCCAAAAATGAAAAGGTAAAAAGAAATGAGAAAAATATAGAATAAAAATTAGGGTCGTCCCTTTCTACATAATAAGAATAATGTAAAAATGAAATTAATAATGAAAATAAAACTGCCATTACTTGATAAGCAGTCATAACAATGAGAAAAATTAAAAGCAGAGTCGCAATTACAAAATAGAAAATGTAATATCTTTGACTTTTACCACTATTATAAAAATAAAATAAAAAAATTGAATAAACAAGGACTAGTACATTGAAAAAACCCAGTTCGTAGAGAATCTTTGCAATAATAGGGATATTAGGGCCATCAGAAATGGTATCAAAAGAGAGTGTTTTAAAAATGTTAAAAATATAGTACAAAAGCATAGAAACAATACAAAATGAAACCAGACAGTCCATAAAAACAAGTAACTCATTTTGGGATTCTAATAGAAAAAGTTGATATCAAGTATTAATATTATTTATATATGACATTTTTTTTCTTTAAAGATTGAATCTTTCTCACCTTTTGCAACCGATCTGGCAATTCTTTTATCATTATCATCAAGAAAATGAATTCGATAATCTTCATTGGTGAATGTAGCTCCAATCACATCAACAACTTCTACTCCAAATCTTTTAGTAGCAAATTCGTTATATCTTTCAGCTTGCTCTTTAACTCTACGTCTAGCATTATGTCTAGAAACTTGAGCAGTCTTGCCACTTCCTGTATGAAGAGATTTAGTTTCAATTGTCAAATAAGTTTTGTAATCTGATCCAAAAATCAAATCTCCTTTTCCTTTGTTAGGATGACCCTCTTCAATTTCCCATTCGAAATCCACAAGGTATTTAAACCCCGGGCAAATTTTATGAATGTTATCAATTAAGTAATTTTTTATTTCATGTTCTGGATGTGTTGAACGTGCATAAAATCCTTTCCAATCTCTTCTTTTTTCTTTATCAATACGTTGTAAATAATTTCTCATATCGAAATCTGTGCCTTATTATTATTGCCAAAAATTTTTTACAAGTGCAGGAAAAATATTATTCCATCCATTGATTCCAAATTTGGAATCGGTTCTAAAAAAAAAATTTAGAACTCCTTTGTTGATTCTATTCCTTAATCTATTTCTGATATTCATCCGAGTTCAAAATTTGATGGTTTTTTTTATCTATAACAGCTAAAACATCAAGACCATCTGTTAGTATTTTTACCTTGCTTATTTGCTGCACTCATTGCACTAATAGATACTCAAGATATTCAAAGAGCCAATGCTTCTAAAGTTGAAACATATTAGACAACATATTATATGAGCATGAGATAAAATCAAAATTTCAGTAAAAAAAGTGGCTTAGTTGTACACTGGACTGTCATACAAAAATAAAAAATAATTAATTGTTTTTTAACGTTAAGTTTGGATGGAAAGTCTGTGTTCATTTTGTTATAAAAACCTTGTCAATTTTGACCGAAGAAATACAAATAAGGAAATCACTTGCATAAAAACATCAATCGTTCTTTATATATATTAAAAAAATATGTATATTAGCTTTAGTTTTTACAAAATATTAATTGAGTTGGTACACTTACCTTACCATAAATATCCGACCACCTGATAATCATTTTAATAGTTAGAACCTTACGCCTTCATGTCATTCAAAATTTTATTAACCAAACCGAGGCTGGTGCATTAAGTAAACATGTTTAATTTGTGTATAAACTTGAAAATTTCGTTGAGTTTGCATTATTATTAATAATATTAATGGACTTAAAGTGAGAATTTTAAATTATACAAAAATCCCATAATTTTTACGAAAACTAAGCTTAATATTAAGGTAGAAATCGTATTAACCAATTTTGTATAGAGTGAAAATCGGTTTATAGCGGTTCAAGGTTTGACTGTAACAAACCATTCTTTCTTTCATTCTCTCGTTTTCTCTCTCTTTTTACCCAAACAATCGCTTGCTACTCGCTCTACTTTCATTCTCACCCTTACTCTGTCACTCTCCCGAGAAAACAATTATTAAGATAAATGCGGATCACGCCAAAAGCTAAAGAATTAAGAGTTTTAGAAAATGTGGACACGACAAATTTTCAACCTTTTATTTATGTTAAAAATGATATGAACTATAATGAATATACTGCCAAAAACCATGGTTCTCGTTATATTTAAAAAAATGAATGTTTATTAATATAACCCTTTATTTTTAATAAAATAAATTTTAAAGGTATAAATGGCAAATGCCAATCTAAACCTTTCCATTTTTTTA